GGGAGCTAATGAAATCACCAAATGAAGTAGTATAGAGGGAAAAAAGAAAATGGCCCAGGACAGAATCTTGTGGGATCCTCATGATTAGCAGACTTGACCTGGATGAAGACCCAGAAAGAGACTGATAAGAAGTGATCACACAAGTAGAAGAACCAAGAGAAACAAGTGTGGATAACCTAGAGAAGAGACAGTATCAAGGAGAAGAAAGTGACTGGCAGTGACAGTGCAGAGAGGTCAAGAAGGATGAGGACTGAGAAAATGCCATCAGGCTTGGCAGTTAAGAGATCGCTGCCTTGGTAACTTTGGAGAGAGCAATCTCAATTGAACGATGTGGTCAGAAGTCAGACTGCAGAGTTAAGAAGAAAGTGATAGGAAAGGAAGTGGAGGCATCACTTGTAAACAGCTTTCTCAAGGAGGTTAGTCAGAAAAGAAGAGATGAGCTATAGAATGATGGCTAGCAGGCATGGATGGATGAAATGAGAAGTTTGCTGAGGATGGGAGCGATATGGGTGTGTTTGTAGGCTGGAGGACCAGTAGAGAGAGAGAGAATGAAGGTAAGTGAGAGATGGGGATGACTGAGGAAGAAGACTGATGGCAAAGACAGGATGGAATGGGATCATTTGTGCATATTAGAGGGGTTTGTCTTGGCCAGAAGGGCCGTGTCTTCATGTGAGACAGGGCTGAAGAAGGATATGGTGGTGGAAGACATCTGAGTGATGAGTGAGATCAGGAAGAGAGAAGAGGGAGCTCGAAGGGAACGGATTCAGTTTTTTCAGTGAAATATCAAAGTTCTCAGCTGAGAGGGGGTGGATGGAAGGATGAAAAGGTTTAGAAATGCCATTGTAGTGAGTAGATAGTGAATCGATTAGGGTAGTATGAAAGGATTTCCTTGCCACAGGGTGGTCCCAACTGACATAAATCTGAGGTGGACCCAGTGTTCAAAGAAATTGGGTTAGAGGCAAATAATTCTCCTTGTAAACACATGGATTCAGGAATGTGGAAGCAAAGGACACTGAGCCAAGGACTGGCCAAAGAATTCTCTCCCATGTCCATGAATACCTTCTCATGTATAGAACTCTGTACTGGCACTGAAAAGATACAGGGGAAGACAGGAGACATACTCCTTACCCTTGGTACATTCCCAGTCTAGTAGAGGGAATCAGAGTATTTTTTTTTCCACAGCTGCTACTCAATTCAATTTAACAATTATTTATTGAACATCTACTATGTGCCTGGCACTGTACCAGGCACTGGACAGGATGCACATGTATACAGCTTCTACCCTCATGTAGTTTATGTGACCACAGACAAGTCACTTAACATACCTACGCCTCAGTTTCCTCATCTGTAAAATGAAGGAGTTAGGCTAGATGGTCTCTGAGATCCCTTCCAGCTCCAGATCCATGATTTAACAATTAGAAAGCCATATATGGCTATATATTGTCAAATTCAAGAATATATATTAAAGACTAATGCTATAGAAGGATCAAAAGGAGAAATCAGTGTGGGCTTGGGGAACTTTGGGAAGATTTAATTAGAGGGAGTGGGACTTACGGTAACTAATGAAGGAAAGATAGGGAAGGAGAAATGTGTAGGTTTGGGAGAGAGGGAAGGGGCTATTCCCAGTCTCTGGGAAGAATGTGAACAGAAACACAAAGACAGGAATGAGTATGGCATGGGAGTGAGAGGGATTTTGAGGAGGCCAACTCAGCTGGTATCATGGGTGGCAGGAGCTAAGATTTATTATGCAAAGTGGGGCTAGATTATGAAAGGTCTAGAATGGGAAGCAGAGAAATTTTGACTCGGTTCTCTAGTCAGTGTAGGTTTTGAACAGAAAAAGTAATATAATAAAGTAGTCCTTTAGCAATATTGATCCTGGCAATGTTGTATAAGGCAGATCAGAGAGGAGGAAAATTAATTAAGAAACTATTATATTAACTTGGACATAAGTGATAAGTGCCTGGAATAGAGTGGTAGCAATGGAAGAGGAGAGGAAAAGACAAATCTAAGCAACAAAGCAGATGAATAATCAATGAGGCCTATTTATTGACTGATACGATATTGAAGTACCAATACTTCAAAGGTATGTGATTTTGGTATTCCCTTCAATGATGCTGATTACAACTCCTCTTTACCTTATTAGATGGCCTTCCAGAGTTGCTCTGGCTTAAAAACAAACAAAATCTTAATGGCCTTGTAGGCAACTTCTGGTGATAAGCCTTTCCAGATTTAGTTACAGAGGGCCCTCAGTAGAAATATCATCCATCATTGGACCCTTTACTTTTGTAGCCTTCTCAGCATGGTAAAACCAATCAGTACTTGAGTAGCTCTCAAGCATGCATCAATACATCACAATGAGGCATTGAAGTAGGAAGTCAATGGAGGTACTGATAAGATATTTGGACTTAAGCAGAGGAGTAGTACTATTAAACAAAAACAAGCAAGTTTGGGCTAGAGAGGAGGCTTTGGGGAAGATTGTGAGTTCTGTTTTGTACTTGAGTTTGAGCTATCAATTCAGTGTAGAAGGGCCCAATAAACAACTAGAGATTGAACCTCCAGTGACTGATGTCAGTTTGGGAGTCTTTGGCACAGACATAATGGCTGAAGTTCTAAGAATGTATGAGCTCTCTAAAGAAGAGATTGTAGAGGGAGAGGAGCATAGGATCAAGGACAAAACCCAGGTTTAAGCTGGAGGCTAAAGGAGGAAGCAGGAAATGATTACAAGTAGACTGGGTAGCAAAAAAGTCTCTACCCTTGGGGAGATCCCATTCTAATGAGGGGTTGATGTCCTTGGAACTGTCTAGTCAGGGAGACCAGAGCCATTCAAGCAGGAAAAGGTTTGGAAAGACAGATTAGGCTGGAGTCAGAGAAAGCAATCATTCTGCAAACAACCCAATAGCAACGAAGTAATTAGAATCCAAATTAAGGTCAACTGTAGGAATGAAGAAAAACACTATGAAGAACAAGATGAGCTGACTGAATCACTTGTACCGTTACTTAATGGGGGGGGGGGTCACTTCATCTCTTTGGGCCTATTTCCTCATCTGTAGAAAAGAGAACACTAAGTCATCTCTAAGGTTCCTTCTGGGACTCTATAACTTTAACAATGTTGTTGAGTCGTTTCAGTCCTGTCTGACTCTTGGTGACCCCATTTGGGGTTTTCTTGGCAAAGATACTGGAGCGGTTTGCCATGTCCTTCTCCAGCTCATTTTACAGATGAGGAAACTGAGGCAAATAGGGTCAAGTGACTTACCCAGGGTTACACAGCTAGTAAGTGTCTGAGGCCAGATTTGAACTCACAAAAATGAGTCTTCCTGATTACAGGACACAGTCTATCTACTTTGCCACCTAGCTGCCCCTGACTTTAAGAATACATATAAAAATGCATATAAAATATATATATAAAGTAATATGCAAATTAATATACAATTCTGGAAACAATAGATAAATGTTCCTGTTGTTCAGTCATGTCCAACCCTTCATGACCCCATTTGGGGTTTTCTTGGCAAAGATACTGGAGTGATTTCCTTCTCCAGTGGATACAGTGGCTCCGTTCTGTCAGGCAATCAGAGGGGGTAAGTGGCTTGCCCAGGGCCACACAGTCAGGAAGCGTCTGGGCCTGGATATGAACTCAGGTCTTCCTGACTCCAGGCACAGCGTCTATCCGCTGAGGCACTGGCTGCCTGTAGATAAATGCTACAGGATGAGAAACAGTGGCATGACCAGAGAGGGCTGCCTGGGGATAGTGATTTTTGAAAAGGAAAAGGGACATGGGCTGGTGGAAAGGAACACGACAGTCATTCCCAAGGGTGGGTGGAGGGTGCAAGGTCCCTGTGGTCGTGAAGCTCTTCTGTCACAAGGCAGTGTCTGTGGCTAGGCCAGGCTGACACAAGGTCCTAGCTCAAGGCAGCTGTGGAGTGGGGAGGCTTTTTGTTGTCCTGACTAATTAATCCAGCAAGCACCAAGAACTACCAAGCACTGTGTTAGGCACCATGAGGGATACAGAAATGAGCAAGCTACGGATCCCCTTCCCGGCACAGCGTCCCCCTCCCTCTTCTCCTCTGCCCATCCTTTAAAGCCCTATTCACTTACTACCTCCTCCCGGAAGTTCTGTGGGTGACCTCTCCCCCTCTGACTCATGACCCTGTAATATACTCAGCAGGTGGTATTAAATGAGGTAATACTTATAAAGCACTCAGCACAATGCCTGGCCCATAGTAGGTGGCTTTAAAAAAAAATGCTTGTTCCTTCCCCCTAATATTATGTATGCAGTTATCTTTGTTGGTGTCTTCCCTAAATTCTGTGCCACGGTACCCTCCCCAGACCCTTAGGACAGTGCTCTGGACAGAGTAGCTGTTGTTTTCAGTCATATCTGACTCTGTGTGACCCCATTTGAGGTTTTCTTGACAAAGATACTATAGTAGTTTGCCATTTCTTTCTCCAGCTCATTTTACAGATGAGGAAACTGAGGCAAACAGGGTTAAGTGACTTGCCCAGGGTCACACAGCTAGGGAAGTGTCCAAGACCAGAATTGAACTCAGGAAGAGGAGTCTTCCTGACTCCAGCCCCAGTGCTCGATTCACTGTGTCCACACAGCTGCCCACACATGTACATGATGTTTACTGAATGCATGAAAAGTAGGTCCATTTTACCTACCTTCAAGATTTTATTTACTGCCATCTAACCTTAAATTCTTAGATTTCTCTTCATCTTTCCCCATTGTAATTGGAAAGCTGGGTCCATTTTTTCTCCCACCTTTCCTTCTTTCTACTTTTTTCCTTCTTCTTCCTTCCCTCCTTATCTTCTACCTTCCTTTTCCTCATTAGCTCTATCCCTCTTCCTTTTTTTTCCTAAATGCCTACCTCTTCCTCTGCCCCTCCATGACTTTCTCTACTTGTCCTTCCCTTTCCTCTTTTTCCTTTCTTATTCTCTTCTTCCTTTCCCCTCCCCTCACTCCCTCTCTCCACAGCCCCTCTCTTACCTGCTCCCTCTCCCTCCAGGCCACAGAGGAGAAGGAGGAGATGGAGGAGCTCCAGGCCTACAACAGAAGGCTGCTACACAACATTCTGCCCAAGGATGTGGCGGCACACTTCCTGGCTCGTGAGCGGCGCAATGATGAGCTGTATTACCAGTCGTGTGAATGTGTGGCTGTCATGTTTGCCTCCATTTCCAACTTCTCTGAGTTCTACGTGGAGCTGGAGGCCAACAACGAGGGGGTGGAATGTCTCCGACTGCTCAATGAGATCATCGCTGACTTTGATGAGGTGCTGGGGCTACAAGGAACATGGTGGCATGGGGCCCCTCGGGCTGGCAAAGACCTCCAGGGATCATCTGTTTCAGATCCTGCCACTGCACAGCACTGATTGATCCTAAACCTCAATCAGTCAAATGAAAATGTTTCAGATTTAAAGACAGACAGAGCCCCCTCTCTTTTCCCCTAGGCAGAATAAGGGAGGTCATGACCGTTTCAAGCCACTGGTTTTCTTGCAGAATGGCAAGTATAACCCCTTCACTTTTAGGTCTCAGTGGAGCAGGTAGTAAGTGAATTACTTAGTGAAGTGAACTAAGTGAAGGATGAAGAGATAATGTGGGGTGTAGAAAGAGAAATCTTCATTCCTCCCCCCCACCAAAACATACATACAGGAGCACCCGACAGAAACCTAGTCAGTCCAAGAGGTGTAGCAGGTGTGGACATATTCATTCCTGAATCTTTACCATGAGGAATGTTGTCAGGCTGGCCAATACTCAATCACCGGGTGCCTTCAAAGATGGGACTCAGATGTTTGGTGGAGGGGAAACCAAAACTTTTAATATCTGAGCTGAGTTCCTCCTCTTTGCTCTAGCTTTGTCCGAAGTGCTGGGGGGAAATGCAAGAGAAGAAAGACACCCCTCCCCTTTAAGAAATCTCTAATGGGGAAGCAGTGCACAGATATCAAGTTAAGGACAACAGGGATAAAAGCAAAAACACAAGGAATCACAGCTGGCTAAAACATGTAGCACAAGCAGACACAAAGGGTTAGAATGACCAGGAGCAAAGAGAACTGGGAATAAGGAATTTTTGCGGGGGGGAGGGGGAACCTTCCTGAAAGCAGGAGTCATTGAGGAAGAAGATCTGGAAGGAAGTTAGGGACAGGGCTTAATTGTGTGGAGCCAGGAGTGATGGCACATGGGAAGCCTGAGAGATGATGAGAGTAAAAGCCTAGAGAAGAGAAGTCTTAAGGGGCCATGTTAGCTGTGTTCAAGGATTTAAAAGGCTGTCACATGAAAGAAGAATTACACTTGTTCTGCTTGGTCTCAGAGGGCAGAACTAGGAATATGGTGTAGAAGACTTGCAGAGACAGCTCTTGGCTCAACTGAAGGCAAAACTTCCTGATGCTGTTAGAATTGGAATGCACTCCTTTGGGAGGGCAGTGGATTCTCTTGCACTAGAAATTGTGAAGCACAGGCTGGGTAACCACTCGTTGGAGATGTCATGGAAGGGATTCTTGCTATGGGTTGGACTACTGGCCCAACAAAAATTGTGTTGTGAACCCCCATGAGGGGTTTGTACATACACGAAGTACATTGGTAATCTAAATGGGTAATTATTTACTTCTTAAGACAACATTTAAGAATTTTAGCACAAACCCGCTGGACCATGGTTGACAGCACCCAAATAGGAACCACTGGGCTAGAAGACCTCTGAGATTCTCACATTTATAGAATGCTTTATATGGTATACAAAGCACTTTATCCACCCAGCCTCACAAGTGTTATTAATCTCCATTTTATAGATGGGAAAAAGGAAGCTCACAGCAGTAAAATGAGGTCACACAGGCAGCAAGTGGTGATGTAAGGCCTTGAGCCCAGGTCTTTCCACTCCAACATTCTATCAATTAGCTGGAAGTGAGGTAGTTATAGGGGGTGAGGGAGGGAAGTGAGGGATCCTTGACTGGAATGGAGCTCATGAGCCTTTGAATGAGGGTAGATTTGTATCAGTAGATAGGCAAAAGGATTCTAAGTTGTCATTAAATTTTAAATCTGATACATTTGGGAGCCACTTGTGAATTTGGGACAGAAAAGAGCCATGGAGTACTTTGAGTAGATGTTTCTTACTAGTGTATAGAGAAGACATACACATTCTCACTATGTGCCTAGCACTATGTTAAGACACTGTAGGGAAAAATAACCAACAGAAGTTTAAGACATGGATCCTTAGCTCTTATTAGGGAGATAAGACATGTGAGAAAACCACACCTTCAGTTTCTATTTTCTCTGTCTTGTCATTTGTATGATCCCTGGATTCTGGGGACTCAAGCTCTTCTTTCTCATTGCCTAGATCATCAGTGAAGATCAGTTTCGGCAGCTGGAGAAGATCAAAACCATTGGCAGCACTTACATGGCAGCCTCTGGCCTCAATGATTCCACCTATGACAAAGCAGGGAAGACACATATCAAGGCCCTGGCAGACTTTGCCATGAAGCTAATGGACCAAATGAAATACATTAATGAACACTCCTTCAACAACTTCCAGATGAAGATAGGTGAGGGAGGGAATTGATGTGCCTGGTGGACTAGCCCTGGGGAGGGAGCTATGGGACTGTCACCCTCTGGGCTTCCATTCCCTTTCCGCCCACATTTAAGTTATGTATACTTTTCCTTCTCCATTGTCTTGGGGCCTTTGAATCCATTAGAAGATTATCTAGCCAGCCAATCAGTAAATCTGTGGTGAGTTCCTAAGATGCTTTTGCATTCTTGGGTATAAGGGACAAGACATGGCCTTTAACCTTGGCGAACCCTCTGTGTGACAGGGATGGTATGATATATTCACAAGCCGTCAACAGAGACCTATTTAAAATGCTTCATGAAGATGAGACTTGAGCCAGATGCTGAAGGATGGTAAGAGGTATCAGGAGGAAGAGGAAAAGAGGAGGGGGTACTCCAGACAAGACGTCCAACATGAGTAAAAGTCCAGAGGCAAGAATGATTATGTCCTATTCATTGCACAGTGAGGAGACTTGAGTAGAGCAGAAGACTTAGAGTGGGGAGCAGCAGAAGATAAAGATGGATGGGCGAGATGAGGGCAGTTACAGGGAGCCTCAGCTTCTTGCTGAGAAATTTAGACTTTGTCCGGGAGAGCACTTAGGCAAGGGTGAGTACAGAACACCTAAAAAGTGTTGAGTAGGGGAGCAATATGTTGAGAGCAGTTCTTAAGGTATACCTGAAGCCTTGGATGGGGAAAGATATGAGAGGTCTTTCAAAAGAAGAAATGATTGCATTTGAGAACCAACTGATTGAATTTGGAGGGAAAGAGAAGCATCACAAATGACAGAGTTCTATATTGGATGGCCTGCTATCACTTCAAATTCATCAAGTCCAAGTGGAGATGTCCTGTAGATAGGAAGTATGAACCTATGACGTGGGTGAGGGGTAAAAGTGGGGGCAGTTAGGTGGCACAGTGGATACAGCACTGGGCCTTGAGAAAGGAAGACATGAGTTCAAATCTGGCCTCAGATACTAGCTATATGACCCTGGGTAAGTCACTTCCCTGTTGGTCTCAGTTTCCTCATCTGTAAAATGAGCTGGAGAAGGAAATGGCAAACCACTCCACTAACTTTGCCAAGAAAACCCCAAATGGGGTCACAAAGAGTCAGACGCAACTGAAACTACTGAGTAACAACAATAAAAGGTGGAAGAGATATAAAGGTCCACCTATGCAATTCTGAGAGTTGGAAAAGAGTACAAAGAGAAAAGTAGAAGGCAGAAGACTAAGTTTTGAGGGTTCCCACAAGTAGAGCAAAGGAAAAGGAGCCAGGGAGGACAGTCCAAGACATAAAAGAGATGAGAAGACACTGGCAAAGAAACCTAGAGAGGAAAGAAAGGATTGACCAACAGAATCATGTTTTGAAGAGGTCAAGGAAGAGCAGACTGAGAAGAGGCAATTGAGAGAGACGCTGATCATAGATTTAGAGCTGGAAGGGACCTAAGAGAGCATCTAGTCTGGCATTCCCATTTTATAGGTGAAGAAACTGAGACCCAGAGAGATTCAGTGATTTACACAAGATCAAGATAGGGTAGGCAGCATGATGGAATGTTTAGAGATCTGGCTTTGGAGCAAGGAAGATCTGGATTAATGTCCTACTTTGGACACATAATAGTTGAGTGACCTTGGGCAAACACCTCTCAGTGCTCTGAGCAACCCTCTAGGACTACATATTGCAAATACTGCACATTAACCTGCACTATACAGAACTCCTCACTTGGGAGTCTGCTATCCCGCTGAAATCACAAGTCCAGTCCCTATCCCTACCCCACATAGATCTGGGACTAAAAATCTGTTTTTCTGACTCCAAATTCATTAATGAGCAATCTCAGAAGTGGGGTGAGGGTAGAAGTGTAGAAGGTTAAGGAATGTGTTAAGTGTGTGGTGAGGAAACAGAAGCAGCGGTTTATAAAGTACTTATTGGAGAAATGTGACAGTGAGTGGAAGAAGAAAAAAGGAGGTAGAGAAATTGGGTCCAGCAAACTTTTTTTTCCCCTTTTCCTTCCAAGATGGTGGAGACCTGAGTGTTTTGTTTTTGTTTTTTTTTTTTTGACAGTAAGAGGGAAAGAGGCAGTGAAAGGGGAGAGACTGAAATGACTGAGAAAGACCCCTCAGGAGCTAAGAAGTGGGGAAGTTAGCCTCCCTCCGCCCAAAATAAAGCATAGCCTGTGCAACAGCTTGATGCTTTTTTCTCCCTACCTTTTCTGCTATAGGGCTCAACATTGGCCCTGTGGTGGCTGGGGTGATCGGAGCTCGCAAGCCTCAATATGATATTTGGGGCAACACAGTGAATGTGGCCAGTCGCATGGATAGCACTGGCGTGCCCGACCGCATCCAGGTGAGTGGCAGATCATTTCAGTCATCCTCCTGCCTCCAGCCCATACAGATGAGGCTCTCTCCTATGTGAGAGATTTCTAAGCATGGGAATCTCAGAGCTTTCACTATGGGGTTGTTAGATTTGGCGATAAAGGACTGACTTAAATTTTAGGAAACAATTTTTGCAAAACCTTCTCAGTCTCACAGTAGAAGATGGTAAGAAAGCACTGACATTAACCAATGGACTGATTATCCATGATCTTAAATTGATAAAACATTCCCTGGATGTAGAGCCATCTACAGGGCACTACGAGAAATAGAGGAGGATAAAAATAGTTTTGCTGACTTCACATACATGACTGATGTTATATTGCTTGCCTTCTCAATGGATGGGGGAGGAGCAGGAGGGAAGGAGAGAATTTAGAACTCAAAATAAAAAAAAAGAAAAGAAAAATGTTAAAAATTAATAAAAAGAAAGATAGAGAAGGAAGAGGCAATCCCATTGGGTGGAGGGTGGGAATGGGGAGGGAGGTTTCAGACTAATGGAAGAGGCTAGTCAATGCCTTCAGGAACATACACAGAGGAAACAGACATATTAAAGAGAAGTAGGCTTTAGCTGACTATAGCCATACAAGACTCACATGGCAATGCCCAGTTAAAAGGGAGCTTTGCTTCTACCAAATTACTTTAGAGCAAACAGTCTAGCTAATTAAAAACTATTTTCCTTCTGGGGATGCTCTGCCCTCTTGCCTACATACAAACACACATGCCTGGAGAGATGTAGGGAAACATTTTTCCATTCTCCATTCATCAGGATCAAGAACTTGTGAACCCTCCCTTCTTGCCACTCAGCTCATACCCTCAGTAATAGTGGCCTGTAGCTTCTCAAATTTTGATGCTCTGTCAGAAAGAGTTTGGTACAATAGGAAGAATATTGTTTAGAGAAGAACTGGGTCTGTCACTTGCTAGCTGTATAACCCCAGGCAAGTCACTTAACCTCTGCAAAATGTAGGGGAAGGACTAGATGCCTGGTGACCCTTCCAGCTCCAAGATTTAAGAAGTGACACTAACTTCATTCCGGGGACCACAGACAGAGACATATACAAAACCATGTGGCAGACTGCCATTAAGTGGCCACCAGGGCCCTTGAGACTCAGGGTAGCACCATGTGGCTGCAGACCTAGTTTTGCCAAAGATCATTCAATCCTCTTCTTCCTGCTTCCCAGGAAAGAAACAAAACTAGAAATTTGGAGTCCCAGGTAGGGATGACAGAGGAAGGGCCACATACAACTTCTCACCAAATCTCTACAGAAGGTAGCTCTAATAGAACTAAGTAATTACAACAAAATACTGTTAATACACACAATTATCCAAATAATGAATTAATTGTGACAACTCAGAATCCCCTTCTCACCACTGCTCAGACAAGTTCTAGGCGTTGATCTGGGCAGAGGGCTTTACTGCTTTACAGTTTGGGATCATTTGCACCCCTTCAACCGGTTAGCATAGACAAATGCCTTGGGTTCTGCTCCCTATTTCAGAGAGAGAAAGGACCTTTAGAGGATACATGCATTTCCTACCAACCCTTCTATCCCTCTTGTGACATAAACCCAGCGTCTGGGTTAAGGGCACGATGTAAAGAAATGGCAAGGCGTCTGGACCCCATGGCACTGGTGTGGCTCCCCTGGGTACACATCCTCCGGATCTCTTCTTCAATCCCACTCCACCTTTCCTCTTTCTTTCGCCAGGTGACCACAGACATGTACCAGGTGCTGGCCGCCAACACATACCAGCTGGAGTGCCGGGGTGTCGTCAAGGTGAAAGGCAAAGGGGAGATGATGACCTACTTCCTCAACGGAGGACCTCCACCCAGTTAGCAGCAGGCAGGGTGGGCAAAGCTGTACCAGGCAGACCGGCTTTTGGAGAATTGGAAAATGACTTCTTTTGTGCCAGGCAAGGTGGGCAGGCCTAGCTCTAGTGCCCACAGGGTGTCCTGGTGTATTTTTCCACAGTGACTCCAAAACCAGCTTTCTCCTCTCCTTGGGGGCAGGAGCCCCAGAAGGACCCTGGGGGAGCCAACTTCCCTGAGAGCACTAAGTTGACCAAAGATGTATCTGGCTCTATATGTCGGCTAGGAGAAGACCTGAATCATTTGAGTTTTCTAACTGACGGCAGCGTCAGTTCCATAGGGTGGAAAAGAGCTTAGTATTTATTGGTGTAGTGCAACCTGACACACTCGTGGAAGAGGCAGGTGCTGCCTGGGGAAGACTTCATGCCCTCAGGGGTAAGGACCTGGGGCATCAGCCAGGGAAAGCTCGGGGATCCCCACAGATGCTGCTTTTCTGTGCAAGCTTTTTAAAACTCAGATGGGGGCCTGGCCTTTGTTCCACTGAGGCCTTCTGGCATTGCTGGCCGTGGCACTGTCACAGGAAGGACTTCTAGCCATATTAACTGTGCCCTCCTTCATCCTCCCCATTCCCCTTTATGAGCAGGCAGTACACCCAGTCTAAACAAGACTCTTTCCAAGGCGGGGAGGGGAATGGAAGGGGTAGGAGGCTCCCGTGGCTCTGAGAAAAGCGAGTATTTATTAAACAAAACAAAAATGGTTCTCCGTGCCCTTCTTTAGCACGTGCTAGTTTGCCGCGTTCGAGAGACACAAGTAAATCAACACTTCAGGCCAGGGTGCTGAGGTTTGGGGAAGGGAGGGATCCCAGCCCTGAGAGTTGTCATTTTTGTATCTTTTATTTTGTAATATTGAAAACTTGGAGATCTAACAGAGATACCAAATTCTATATTTTGTAAATTCTCTATATCAGAAAGCGGCTGTGTGCAGCAGGGTGTCGTTGCTGGTGTCTGGCTTGTCTATTTGTACGTATGTATATAAGCTATGGAGCCAGGCCCCGGTGTGTGCTGTCGGCTCATTTCCCATTTGGCAGTTTTCAGTTTTACAGGGTACAATCAGCGGTAGGTTTATCTGCTTCTGGGACCTCAGGGTAAATTAGGTACTGTACTTTCACAGTAGGAGTACACACACACACACACACACACACACACACACACACACACATCTCACTTCCCCCTATAGAAGAACATAAATGGTGAGTGCCAGAACCACTAGAAGGTTTCTTTCCAGAGCTGAGGTAGGTTTGTGGAGAATTCTTACCCTCTTTATAAATAGCATTACTGTCCCAGTGGCCTCACCATCCTACCACATCAATATATTTTCATCTAAAAAGGTTTTATTTTGCTGTACTTGAACCATCTTTGAGCCTGTCTGGGCTACCCTTACTATAACGGGACTTGAAAATAGCGCTAAGTGCCATTTGCTGGTTTCAATTTGATTTCTGTGAAGAGCCTTCGACCAGTTCATCCCTCCTTTTTTCTTTTTTTCTTAAAAAAAAAGCCAACTGACAATTCATCTACCTGTCCAAGTTGGTTCAGGAGCAGGTAGATTTCCATAGAGGACCCTTCCTCCAGACCTGGAACAGTGCACCTCAAAATGGTCATCAGATCCTTAGCTCTGTGCTCCATACCAATGTCCAGGTGGCCCCCTTTTCCCTTTGCCCCTGGTGGTCTGAATCATGACAGTAGAACATAAGAGTTCCTTGAAAGAAACAAATATTTGTTTTGTATTGTGGGTTTGTTTTTTCTTTCTCTTTCTTTTTTTTTTTGGTTGCTTGTTTTTAGTTTGGGGGTTTTTTTGGTTTTTGTATGCCCAGCTTCTAGACATAATAGCTCCTTAATACATGTTGGAGGAATTGAATTGGAAATAAATCCTTGAGGTTTTCTTTTAAAGATAACATAAAGAACTCTGTTTTTGTTTTGTTTTTTGGTTTTTTTTTGTAATCTGTAGAGTGAAGGGAGAGTTTTGATAACTAGTTAGGCTGTACACAGTGAAGAGATACTTAGACCAAGTCCAATGTCTGGGGGCGGATCCATATCTTTCCTACTCTTCACTCTTCTCAGGGCAGAATCACTCTCTGGGGCTCTCATGGAGAACCAAAATTGGGGCCTGTTTTACTGTGCTCCACAATGAAAATTATTATGTGCACAGAAACTTGTTTTCCTCTTGCTGAGATGTCCTAGGTTGTGCATGTATGCATGCACAGACACACACACACACACACACACACACACACACACACACACACACACACACGGCCCACTACATAATGCCACTTAATCTCAGCCTTTTATTTCCAACTCCCCTGACCAACTCTCCACCATGACAGCCTGACTGCAATATGCTGTTCCCCTCACTCCCAGTTAGGGCACATCTCTGAGGAGCAAAGTGTATAAACTGTAAAACTGCCAAGTCCGCCTTTGTATTATATTTCTGCTGTTACATCCTTTAAGTTTTATGAAGCACCTGTGTTTCCCACTGTATTCTGTTGGCTTTCTTTCATACCCATGGTTGTTTTCGTTTCTGTTAAGGTTTGCTTCCAATTTGAGTAAAGTATGTACTCAATCTGCCTGGGTCCCCGTGCTTCCTCTCTACTGCTGGTCTTTGTTAGAAACATCTCCAACCTGGAGAGGTCCTCTCCCACTTCCCCTTGTCACTTTTCTCAGTCTCTTCCCTTTTCCCCTAAATTTCTCTCCCTTTTTTCTCTCTCCAGTTATCCTCCTTATGCCTCAGTTTTGCCATCTGTAAAGTGAGGGGGTAGAATAAGTTGATCCATAATTATAGTCCCTTCCAGGCCTTGAACCTATAAAACTTCTCTCCCTGCCTGTCTGTCCCTTCTACCCCCTTTCTACCCCAAGCTGTGACTGTTGATGACGTATAGATCTTAAGCATCATTTTTCTCTAAGGAGTGTGCACTGTTTATTCCTGATCTTGCAAAAAAACAAAAAAACAGATACAATTATGATTTCCCATGGAAATTGAAAAAGTCTATTTAAATAATTTAACTATTAAACACTTTCACTGGTAATGTGTCCTGGTTTGATTTATAGAAAGACCTAGGGAGGCCTAGTTCAGAAGAAATATACATATTTACCTTCACTGAGCCCAGCCAGGGTGGGTTAGATGGAGGGGAAGCCACCGGGAACTAAACTGCCATCTTTGCCAGCGGCCACATTCACATGCTCATATGTTCTGAACAAAGCAGCTGTCTCTTCTGTGCTTGGCCTGTTGTTATGGTTTTATGGTAATGATATTTGGGTTTATCTTTTTTTTTCTTTTAGTAAGTAGGAATCTTTAAGATTCGGGATCCCTAGCTTCTTTAACCATGCCTGTTGTCTTTGTGGATATCATCAGCATAATGAGTTGGCTGAAGTGAGTTTTCCTAGAGTTCTTCCATTTATACTAGAAGTTTTTCAACTTGCCCTTCCTCTACCCTTCAACTACTTCAAATAGAGACCAGCTTGCCCATCAGGGTCCTTAAAGCATAATAATGATCACAGGCATACTCACAAAGCAGAAGGGGCATGGAAAACTGACTCACTGACATAAGACCAGTTGAAGAAAGTTAATCCATTGGTAAGTGCTCAGTTAAAGGAACTGAGGATGATTCATCTGATGAGAAGAAGACCAAGATAAAAAGTGCATCATCTTAGAATAATGATGTACACCTCTTTCCCTTCCCACTCAACACCATGAAATATATCACAGAAATTCGGAGTAGGAAGGAACCTCCGAGGTCATCCAACCCAAATGATCGTCTAACCCAACAGCATCTTCAACAAATGGACGCCTGACCTCTTGTTAAGAACTGCAGTAAGGGGGTCATCACCTCCCAAGGAAACCGGTTCTACTTTTGGACTTCTAAGAGTGAACCAAAGTCTGCCTCTGTAACTTCTACCTATTGCTTCTAATTCTGTCCTCTGGAGTCAAACAAAATAAGTTTGATCCCTCCACCATGTTGGCAGTCCTTCTAGTACTCAAAGAAGTTGTCACATTTCTCATAACTCTTTGCTTTTCTATGTTAACCCCAGTACCTTCAACCAAATATAAATGGCATGGTTTCTGGTCATCCTGGTCCACACTCCTATGGCTGCATCCATAGCTTTCCTAAAATGTAGGGCTGAATGAAGTACTCCAGTGGTTACACCACTCCCTGAGGGTCCGACCAGGGCAGAGTACATGGGGTCTGTCACTATCCTTGTTCTGGACCCTCTAATGCAACTCAGGATTGAAAGAGCCTTTTCAACTACCATGAAACACGGTTGCCTCATATGAAATTTGCAGCCCACTAAAATATCCAGACCTTCTTACTTAGTTGAAGATTGTGTATGATCCCTGTTAAATTCCATCTTATTAGATTTAACCCATCATTATAGCCTGTTAAGTGTAGCTAGGTGACACAGTGGATACAGTACCAGGCCTGGAGTCAGAAAGACTTGAGTTCAAATCTGGCCTTGGATATTTCCTGGCTGTGTGACCCTGGGGCAAGTCATTTAACCCTGTTTACCTCAGTTTCACATCTATAAAAATGAGCTTCCACCTATTGCTTCTAATAGGAAATGGCAAAACCACTCCAGTATCTTTGCCAAAAACAAAACAATCAAATGGGGTCACGAAGAGCCACACACAACCGAAACGACCAAACAAAAAAACACACCCATACCTGCCCAGCCTATGCAATTCTTGTCATATCATTCTATAAATCTTTCAGAGAGGGTCTACCCGACATGTACACTGTGAGAGAGAGGTGACTCACTTGTTTTCCCTTGTTAAAAATGGTGCCATCGTCGAATATAAGCTGTGCATTGTTTATCCCTCACGCTGACAAAACCAGCCCACTTTTTTGGGGGGGGGTCATACATCAATGATGATATCTTTTAGTTCTGTTTCATAATGTGTAGGTACAGCCTGTTCAGGTCATCTATACACCATTCAACTGCCTTTTGAGTAAAGCTGAATTTGAATCTAAGACTGTTATCCTGTGGTCATTCTATCAGTTAGGAATGGACTTAATCATACAATCTATCATGCAGTACATGTCCCTCCATCTTGGCCACAATGGTACTGCAAGAAATTTTCTCAAATGCTACGCTGAAATCCATGAAGAAAATGTCTATAGCATCTCACTGATGAACTAGGTTGGCTAGAAATCCTCTAAAAAAAAAAGGAAATAAAGTATATCTGGCACAATGTGTTTTTCATGAATACACACCATCAATTCCTTTTCTTTGTGCTTACACACACACACACACACACACACACACACACACACACACCCAACAGTGGGGTTCTAAAATTTTGCCAGGAATCAGAGTAGAGTTCATTATCCTACAGGAAGAGGAAATTCCCTTTTCGGCAATCAGGACACTTGCCTATCTTCAGTCTTGCAGCACCCCTTCCATTCTTCATGATTTTTTGTTTTGTTTTCAGTAAAAAAAAAAAAGAGAGAGAAATATTTTATTACACAAGCACTATAATTGTAGAACAAAGAAAATAATCAATCCAGAATGTCAAGAGTCCTAGTACATAACTAAGTGAATGATTTCAGGTAGATAAAATTTGTGAGAAATGACAGAATATCCTATGTCAGGAAGAATTCAAATGATGGGCAAAGTCCTGTATGAGATGATGGAGAGCTCTGGATCAGGTGAGAGAGCTGAGACAGATCTAGACAGAGTGGCCTCTCCACCTATTCACATGTGACCCAGGGTCTGCTGTTCCATATACCTGCTCCTGTGAACACTGTAATTAGCACAGTCAGGCAACTTGGACCTCTGCCTCCTCTTGTGCTTCATTCAGCCTATGCATTCACTTCTTCCTCCATTTGGTTCTTATAGTAAAGTAGAAATAGTCCCAATGGTGCTAAGACCAAGAGCTCTCCATGATTTTTCAGTGATCACTGTAAGTTTCTTGACAATCACTGCCTCAAATTTTTTCAGTACTCTGGGTTGTGGAACATCCGACCTTGTGGACCTAAATTCATTGAGACCCTCTAAGTGTTCTCCCACCCTATCCTCACTAATCCTGAGTCTGAATTCTCGGTTAATTATTTCAGTTCTATCAATCCTACTCTGAAGGCCATTCTGTGTTAGCAGAGAAAACAAAAGCAAAATAAGATTTCAATTACTCTGCTTCCACTTGTCCATTATCATCATCCCATCCACTCTGGGCAGCAGTTTGATATTCTTCTTTCCCTCCATGCAGCTATTTTAATAGCCACTGTTACTGTCCTTAGCTTCAGCTCACTATGGGCTTGAGAAATTCGATCATGTTCTCACACGACTGTGTTAATCTTTCATATTCATGCTCAGTTGTCTGTCCTTACTTCCATCTTCTGCATCCTCTCAAAAAGAAATGGCAATGCCAGTGGTCTCCTTAGACAGCTTCCCCTTTTCTTCCTGCTTGGAATCATTTGTGTCTTCAGAATTTTGTTTTGAAGAGCAGCATATCTCTCAGGACAATTTATCTTGTGGAATCTCATGGGACCCGACCAATTTTATTTCAGAACTATTGTGTATATCAGATGAGTCTTTAAGAGACACAAGCAAATGTAAGAAGAAGATTTGATCCAGCAGCCTTAAGGCCATCAGGATTTTCATCAGTGTGTACAACACATCTGAGTAATAAGTACCATCAGAACTCTCCTATAGTAATGGACTGATGGGGTAAGGGAGTTTCTGTGTGTCCTTGTGGAAGCAAGACAGGCTCAATACACAGAATTCCAAATGAACAGAATGAAGAAAATTAATTTATAAGAACCCAAGGCTTCAATTTAGGAAATCTTCAAGCTAGCACATACACACACACACACACACACACACACACACACACACACACACTGCATAGTGGCACCTCCTGATGAACTCTACTACAACTCAATTTTGATGCTGGATAAATGCAGGACAAAAAAGGAAAAAAGAAGAGCCATTTCTCTGGTCCTCAGTTTCCCTAGCTGTAAAATAAGAGGGTTGGTTTAGTTCAGAGATTCTTAACTTTTTTGTATCAAACCGTTCTGGCAATCTGGTGAAGCCTAAATACCCTTTCTCAAAATGTTTTTAAATGATTGAAGAAAATACTAAATTTCAATTAAAATAAAGATCTAATTTTTTCTCACCCAAGTTCACAGACCCTTTGAAATCTACCCATGGATTCTCTGAGGTTAAAAATCCCTGAAGATGATTACTAAGGTCCCTTCTAATTTCAAATCCTGAGTCTAAGTGCTGCAAACTCTTAAGTATGTGAACAGCTAGATGTGGGCCACAAGTCCATGCGGTCTGTGAAATAACAGTAACCAGCATTTTGCAGGGCTGACTCTCAAATTGACCCCATCCTCACAAAAAAACAATTTTACAACCAAGTCCCCTGGTATATTTTTCCCCCTTGATGGGAACCTGACAGTTTAGCACTATAAATCTAGGGGAAAATGTCATGCCTCTAACTCTGCTAGAATGTAAAGCAAATCACTTCACTCTGCCTCAGTTTCCACATCTGTCAAATAAGCTGGAGAAGGAAATGGCAAATCACTCCACTACCTTTGCCAAGAAGACTGCACCTGGGGTCACAAAGAGTCAGACATGATTGAAATGAATGAACAAGGCGACAGCTGTTGACTATAACTCCAGGCATTTTTTTCTTCCCTTTTGACATCAGAAACAGAAAAAATGGACTATAGTGCTAATTTATTTTGATGTGATTTGTATAAGTGGCCTTTGGGGTGGAAGTTGCATTGTCCTTCTGGCTTAGCTTGGCCATGGTTCTTGGTGGCTAAATGCTAAAAAATAATACCTTCTTAGAATGAGCAGAAGGGCCAGGGCTAACGAGCTCCAACCCCTACCCAGATATACTTTTAAAAGCCTCTTGGGCTTCTGTTCAAATAGTAATTTATTGAATGTACAGTAAAGTTCATCTAGATACCCCATCTTCGTCTTTCATCAGATCCCTTCCCATCTCTAGAAGAAGCTGGTTCTTAATTATCCCATCTTGTCTGTCATCTTGAGTCTCCCCTTTTCCAAAAGGATCCTTCCCCATACTCTCTAAAAGAACTATTGACTATCTACTGGGGATTTTCTACAATAAGCTTAACCAAGACTGCCTCTCCCTGCTACTTGGCATGAAACTTAATTGGTTCTTACCATATCCTGTTCCCATAAGCCTAATACCACCACTTTGTGGGATGCTGTAGAAAGCATTCTTGCTCCAGAACAGGTTGGGTTAGATGGCCTCAGAAGTCCCTTCTAACTCCTAAATTCTGTATTCATAGAACAGGAACTTTTTTCTACCCCAAATATCCTTCTTCTAAGACAAGGCTCTGAGCAGCCCACCTGCTTCCCTTCACATCTGAAGTCAGCAGACTTGGGTCAGTGCAGGTGTACAGTACTACGTCCTCATGGTGCCTGATAATCCCGCTGGAGTTGGAACAGGTTTGCTGGAAGGCTGTGAGCCCATGTTGATGACCTTCTCTAGGCCGTACTGAAAAGACTGGCACAATCATGTATTATTCTCCCACGTTGGTGTCTAGTGTTTGTGCTTTTTGTGGTGTAATGGAAAAGGCACTGGGATTTTGAATCAGATGATTTCAGTAAAAGATCCAGCTCTGATACTTATACCATACAGCCAGCTACGTGACTGTCGGCAAGTCATGTAGCTTTTCTAAAACTGTAAAACAGGCACAATATTTCTTATACTGCCTATACAGGTGTGTTGTTTTTGAGAAAAATGCTTTATGAATCTCAATAGAAATTATTATTATTATTATTATTATTGTAGATGTTCAATAAAGCCTTGTGAAAGGATATAAATTGAATACAAGGCCTTCTAAAATAGGAGAGGACTGAACTAAACATATCCATTGATAATAAATTCTGTAGTAACTCATTACCTCTACCCCCAGCCTCCCTACCATGCAACGACAGCCATAAAGGGCCTCTTCTTTGTTCACAAGCCCTCTGGCATCCTCTCCCACCCCCACCCCCACCCCCTTAGTACAGAGAATCTACTTTTCAGGAAGTACAGTATGGCATACGCATCATACCAGCAGGGAAAGGATGAGGATAGTCTCTGCTTGTCCTGCTCTATTACTGAGTGGTTGTGAAGGGGATAACAACCCTTGCTCACTTTTTTCTTTGCCTATTTGTAATAGCTGACATTTCCAAATAGTTTTAGGGCTTACAAAGAACTTTACTCACAAAAGTCCTCTGATGTTTGTCTGTGCAAGTAGTATTATTCCCATTTTACAGATGAGGAAGCTGAGGGTCAGAAAGGATAAAAGACTTGCCAAAGGTCACACAGCTAGTATTAGCGTGAGGTCTTCTAACTTCATCCAATACTTTTTCCGCAGTATCATTCTGCTTCAAGCAAACTGATAAGATTGTCAAAGAGCAAAATACTGGATTTCTTTGGGAGGGGTATCTGAGCTGCCTTTACCTCTTCCCTCTTCTCCCTCACCCCACTATATCTAATCAGTTCGCAAATGCTCAGGAGTCTACCTCCAGGATATCTTTTGCATCCTTCCTCCCACCCCCTCCACTCACTCCACCAGCTTTTGTTCAGGTACTCACTACCTCTCACCTGGACTATTAGAACAGTTATTTAATCTTCCTACTTCCAATCTTGAGCCAGAAAATAGCCCAGTCAGCATTTCCTTTGGATGAAGCTGCACTTGGGTTTGAACAAATAGCTGGCCCATTCAACAAACTTACAAAACTATCTCTGATATGTGAACCCGTTAAGTATCTAAAGGGCTTGCAGTAAATGCAGAATACTTTGGCTTCTTTTTGGCCTATTTCAATTGTATTTCATGGGATCATAGAATCTTAAATTCATAAGGGGCCTCAGAAACTATTTGGCTTTTTTCTTTTTTTGCTTTTTTGGTAAGGCAATTGGGGTTAAATGACTTGTCCAGGGTCACACAGCTGGTAAGTGCCAAGTGTCTGAGGCTGGATTTGAACTAAGGTCCTCCTGACTCCAAGGCCAGAGCTCTATCCACTGTGCCACCTAGCTGCCCCTCATTTGGCCTTCTTCAGATGATGATCTGTCCCATAACCAATCAAGCAAAGAAGCTCATAGCTTTTTAAAAATTATTATTATTTAAAAAACTAGTGCCAATGGAAGACTAGGAGAGCCTGGAGAACCTATCGTGGGAATTCTTAAGGACCCTGCCTCCATGTAGGATGGCCCTCCTATCTGGACTCAAAGACAGGAAATGTCTCCTATCCTATTCTCAGGCTCTCCAGGGAACAAGAACTAGAACTTTCTCAGGAAAATATGGGATAGCCTTTCCCTCCAATGTGGCACTCAAGAAATGATGTAATAGGAGTAAACTATCAGTTTTTCCATATCAAATTAAGATACCTACTGGTACCCAGCACCAAACATAGGGTATTACATGCAAATAAGTGTTCAGCAAATATCTACTGATTTGATATCCAAATTTCAGACATAGTAATGGGTCAACACCTTGCCCATACTTGCTTTGAGAGAGAACTATGCTAAGCCACAGCATAAGTGAAAATCCCACTGGAGCAAGGATGGGGAACCTGCAGCCTTGAGGACACACGCGGCCCTCTAGGTCCTCAAGTGCAACCCTCTGACTGACTCCAAACTCCATAGAACAAATTCCCTTAACAAAAACATTTGTCCTGTAAAACTTGGACTCAGCCAAAAGGCTGCACCCGAGGACCTAGAGGGCCACACGTGGTCTCAAGGCCACAGGTTCCCCACCCCTGCCCTAGAGTAAACTCTACCGCACATCCATATTATTTTGTTAGAGTGATAATTTGTTCCCCCTCCCAACACAAAGGGCATATGTACAGTCTGAGGGAATTCTCACTTCTCTAGCTTGCTGTCCACCCTGTCCCCCCACGACCTGAGAACTTCAGTATCTGCCACTGCGCTGTTTTCCATCACCCAAAGTGTAGTCACAATCTCCTCTTGCCCATGGGCCCACAAGACAGAAATAATAACAATAATGGCGAGCATTTATATACCACTTTAATGTTTGCAAAGCACTTTAAAATATAATCTCATCTGATCCTCAAAACAAACCTGGGAGGTACCATTATTATCCCCATTTTACAGAGGAGGAAACTGAGGCAAGCAGAGGTTGTGATTTGTCCAAGGTCACACAGCCAGATTTGACTCAGGTCTTCCTGACTCCAGGTCCAGCATTCTATCCACTAAGCCACTAAGGGCAGAAAAAATAGCAATGCCTACCAGTGGGCAACCCTACCAGTAGAAACCTGTGCAATATCGATCACTTAAGAGGACTTCCCTCAGCAGGGCTTCGGCAGCAGTCAATAAGCAATAACACTTACTATGTGTAAAACAAAGGTTGCCACATTTCTCAAAGCTCTCCTTAGATACCTGGCAAGTAGATGGTTACTCATTTACTCTTCTCTTGTGCTGCAGTTCTCTGCCTCCAGCAGGGGGCACTCATTCTCCTTTCCAGGAAATCAGTTTCTTAACATGGAGCCACAGGAAAAGGACATTCCAAAGTCTCTGTCTCCACTGACTGTGTTATAACTCAGAATATACCCTAGACCACATTACATCTAATTTCTGTAATTCTCAGGCTTCATCCACGAGAAGTTGTGGAGGGGTTAATGGACCCCATTCTATGTTGACTTATTGGTGACTTATTACATTTTGTCTCTTTCCCTTTAGCACTGGGGGAGAGAATATAAATAACACCTGATCCACATGGTAGAACCCAGGAAATGGAGTACTCCTTGCTGCTACCTGTAATCTGTGGGAGAGAGAAGGATGGAGGCATCACCTATTCTTACTGGTACCACATGCATACTGAGTATAGAAAGATTTGTCATCACCACCATATAACCCAAAGCATCTCTAGAAATCCTATCCCCACGCTGTAGAACTTGGGGATAAAATGGAACGCTTCCTAATGAATTAGCAAAACTGCAATGCAGTGTCCTGAAATGGGAAATAAAAAGAAAGGTAGGTTATACATTTGTATACACATACACATTCTCATCTTCCTGAGTTCAAATATGGCCTCAAACATTTACCAGCTGTGTGACCCTGGCGAAGTCATTTAACCCTGTTTGCCTCAGTTTCTCACCCATAAAATGAGCCAGAGAAGGACAAGGCAAACCACTCCAGTAACTTTGCCAAGAAAACCCCAAGTGGGTTCACAAAGAGTTAGCTGGACGTGACTGAAACAACTGAACAATACACAAAGCCACACACCCCTTTTTAGTCCTTTCTATTTACCAATCTCATTTTGCTCCTTGTTTCATTTTGGTGGCTGGGGTTGGGCATGAAGATGGACTTTTTTTTAGGAGGGGGATTGAAAGAAATCAGGGAAAAGGAGGAATGATTGGAAGAGGTTGACAACAGGATGTTTGAGGTAAGAACAGAGAAAAAGCAATCACTAGGGCAAATTGTAGGGTAAAGAAACAGTGAGGAGAAACTGTTAATGATCACTTTATAGATTTGGGTTTACATGGCTATTAGTCCTTTAAAGGCTTCCTCCTAGGCAGTGTATCTACTTTGGAGAGTTGCCTCCAGTCGCATAGTAGGGCCTGCATTATGGCATGTTGGTCCAAAAAGCTAGGCTTCCCACAGCTCATAAGGCGGTTGATTTAGAGCTTAAAGGGGCCTCAGAGGCTGCCTGGTCCGATCCCTTAATTTTTTTTTTTTAAGGCAACTGGGGTTAAGTGACTTGTCCAGGTTTCACACAGCTAGTAAAATTTGAACTCGGGTCTTACTGACTTCAGGGCCGGTGCTCTTATCCACTGCGCAACCTAGCTGCCCCTGGGTCCCTTAATTTTTATAGATAAGGAAACTGAAGCACAGATAGGTTAAGTGACTTGCCCAAGCTCAAAACAAGGCAAGAAGTAGTCCAGTACACATTTACACCCAGGTTCTCTGACTTCAAATCCAGGGTTTTGGTTTTTTTTTTCTCCCCACTGTACCACGTTGTCTGATACACTTAAGTTACAAAATATACATAGCATACTTTTTTTTTAAATTGTGCTTTTTTCTATTGAAAAACAATAAAGCATAATTACTTCTCACTTCAATATAGTTAAAAGAATTTACAGTATGATGTAAATAAACACAAAGCAGGTACAATCAGGTGCCTTTTACACTAATCTTAAACTATTAGCAACAACTACTTAATCTAGCCTGGTTTCTCCCCTAGGCTAGAATAGTATTAATTTATTGAATCTTTCATTATTTGCCCAGGGTTTACCTATTCAAAGACAACTAGTAGCCAGGTTTGTCTAAAAAATACTTGCAAAGTCACTTCTCTACTTTTTTTTTCTTATTGGAGACAATTTTACTGGAGAACAATTAATAGAAAGCTGATGACAGAGTCTGCCATATTCGGTTCTCTTAGATTTCTCTATCAGCTAGCAGTTGGAGGATGAAACCCACAATACTCCTGCTTAAAATTTTAATTTGGAAATATTTTTAACAAAATAAAAAATATAACAAAACACAGATAATGTTAACATGTGGTTTTCTAAGTCAATATCTAGCCTTGCAAGGATTATTGTATACAATTTAGTGTCCCCAGTTTCTGTGTGCATTTGACACCATGACACCTTTATCCTCCTTTGAAGACTCCTGTCTCATTTTGTGGCAAAGTAACAAGAGGGAAACATCACAGCAGCATGATGCCTTCATCTGTCCCAATTTGGTATTTTTCCAATCAGAACGGACTTTCACCCACTTCATTTTGGGCTACTCCTCCCAACACCTCCTCCCCATGTCTGTACTGTAGATAGATCAAGCTATAGATTTGTAGATGAATCTATATAGCTCTATTTATGTATGTGTGTGTGTGTGTGTGTGTGTGTGTGTGTGTGTATACACACACATACATACACAGGCTAACACTGTCATTTCAACTCCTCTGTGTGTGTATGTATATAAGTATTAGCCTATGTTCATAGCCTATGAACATTCTGCTTGCCTTTTGTTTGCTAGATGTGGCAACTACCTGCCCTTACCAAGGTGAGTTTCTAAGCCATTTTTTCTAGCAAAGTGTAATTGAGATGGCCCAAAAATGACAAAGCCCAGAAACCTGTAACAAGGAGTAACATACACACCCACAATACAAGAAGAGCAACACCCAGCAGACAACCACATCCTACAGTTACTGTGAGACTAGGGACCAGTGCACCCAGCAGAGACATCACACCTATCAGGGAGCAGGTTCAATGTGGGCAGCAAAACTACATCAGCAGGAAACACCAGTAGTCCCATAGTATTGGAGGCATGAGCTTCCCGTCCATGCATGCTCCCTGCCACTCACGTTTCCTAGGCAGGTACTCCTCTCACGTGATCCTGATCCATGCCCAATCTCTCCACTGAATTGTGGTAGAGGGTGCTACAGTTTCATTTTGTGTTTTTTGGGGGGTGGGTGGATAGGGGAAGTTCTGTTACAACCTTTCTCACTATTTCATTAAATGACTATTTTGAACTAATTCGATTCTCTGGCTAACTAAAATAAATACATTGGCAGGGGCTCATGAGCTATGGCTCTGAATGGATGTAAACCCATAAAGTACCTTAAACGAGGGATTTAATTCTAGGGTTCCCACCCGGGAGAGAGGTAATAGAGGTGCTACATGGAGAATAGACTCATAAAATAAACATGAGTTATCATCCAGTCTAGCCCTCTCCTTTTACAGTGAAGGAGAAATCACAGAGATGAATAGAGTTGTTCAAGGGCAGAGAGTAGCAGTGTAAGTCTCCTGACTCCTAGTTCTGTGCTCCAATAAATAAGGCTGCTTCCTTTCTTACTCCTCAGGAGAGCTGGATTTTATATGTCCAATTCCATAGGGAGTCTTTCCAGCTTCTTTTCCAATTAATCCTTACTTATAGATTACATACACACACACACACACATACACACACACACACACACACACACAGTGGAAAGGACACACTTCCCATCAGCTTCTCTACCCTCAATATTATTAAGATATTTCCATCCATCTCCCTAAACTAACATCTCCAGCTGCAGTTGCCCAGAGAGCAGTGGTTTGGGGGAAGGTCTTTGGACTTGGCTACAATGAATGTAACTTTCAAGGCCAAAAGGAAGAAATGTCTCCCAAATATGCCCATCTATCTATTCCATGATGCAAATAATCTGGGCATAGATAACAAGTTGTAGGCACATAAAGCAAGTTTAATAGGAAAGACTTTCACTCCCAGCCCCATGGGGCTGATATAAAAATTGCTGTTAAAGATCATCTGTACTCAAAATTTACATAATCAAAACTTTTATTTAAAAAAAGACAAAGAATGTAGAGTGGATTAAGAGTGCAGCTTTCATCTTTTCTGAAAAGGATAGCAAAGCCCAGGCCCTTTCAGATAGCATGTCTACAATGTACTATATGACACTGCTTGAGGGGTGACACATTGATGGGAGACATCATGGAGGCTAAAAATATACAAGGTGCTGAAACAGCCTTAAAATTTTCAAAGTTATAAACATAGTTTACAAAAAACTTCTTTAAAAACTCATTATTATATATTATAATTATATATTACATTGTAATATGTAATTATATAATCCTAAAAGCTGTAGACATTTATACAATTCCGAGTTTTATATTCTTGGAAACATAAACCCAAAGTACCATATCTTAAATGATATGATCTCACTTCATGAAGCTGACTCCCAAAGTACCAAACTTCATGCCCATGTCTAAGACAGATATAAACACTTGCCGTCATTCACAGTACAGAAAGTATCACCAACGACTGGCCTAGAGGAAACTCAAAGGTGAGAATGAGCAAGCACCTTCATAAGAAAACTGCTAATGTGCTTCAGAAAACACGATGGCAAGAAGAATTGATGAGATATAAAAAAATTTAGTTACTTAAAAAACAAAAACATCACCCCCGAAACACTATATGCCGAGAAAACAGCGATAGTTATCTATGATCTGAAGGAAGAGAATAAGATCCATTAGACCCATGGCGTCCAAGAGATCTGGGCTGCACCCCTCAGAGAAATGATGAGCATTCTGTATTCTCCATCATTAGCCAGAGAAGAGGCTAGAAGGAGATCGTGATAGGAATGGGTTTCAGACCTGGAAGGTGTGAGCTAAGCCAGAGGGAGGACTAACCTAATTACCTGATGTAGCTTTGGCAGTGGGAGCCTCAAAGGGACACCTTCATGTGGTGAGGTGATAACAGCACTTTCTCATTCTTTCAGAGCCAACTGGCTTATGAGGCTGGAAAAAAGAGACGAGATCTTGATGACAAAAGGCTGATGAAACAAGGTCAAAGAACTATAGCAAACTTCTTTCTTATTCATTTAAATATAAATATTTTTCTCCCTTTCTGGGCAAAAAAAAATGATCATAATTATATAATTCCTTTCCTTTTGACTATCTTACTTCTGTTCTATAGGACAGTTTTTTAAAATGAATTTTTAGGGAAGTATTTAAATAGGAAAAAGGGTGACTAGGTTTAGGGTATGAGAACAAAGCTTTCTGTCCAGGATATTGTGCTAGAATTTCTTTGTTTGTAATCAGAAGTGTCTAAAGTTCTGTTGTTTTTTCACCCTCGGAACACTAAATCAGAAGGAAGTGACCACTCACTACCACAACAGAGATTCGTTTAGGCTGGATGTGAAAGAACCCTAAGAAGTCAGTCTTTGAACTATTCTTTGGTATTCATAAATTGCCAATTTAAATTTTTTTACATAAAATAGGCAATTTACCTTTAAAATTAATACTACATATAAAATTTTATTCTATGGCTAATTAAATTATTCTTCTGTTATAACACAGTAGCGATTTAAAGGAGAAGGAAACATTCAGTTTGAAGGTTTGGCCTGAGAAGACTAAAGAGATACTAGGACAAAGAAAGGCAGGCAGGAAGAGGATATGCAAGGGGAAAGGGCAGGGAGAAATGCTTAAGGCTACAAGACAGAAAGTGAAAGGAGAGAAGGAAAAAGAGGAAGGGGAAGGGACAAATCATCATCTCCTAATCACCCAAGTGTGGTCCCACATGCCACATCTCATTCCAGTAGAACAGTCCTTTACAACATCAGTTTGCCTTTTCTACCCAAGACCACTCCTCAACATTCCACTCACCAGGTGGCTCCAGAAGTCTCAAGGTGGATAAAGAGCCCTTTGTTGGAGAGTCCTTTGAAAATTATTCTTGTCCTATTCCAACTACACTGCATCTGACCAGGCCTATTTTGTGTACTCATTGATTCAGACTGGGCAGCTAGGTGGTGTAGTGGATAGAGCCCTGGGCTTGAAATCAGGAATCTTCCTGAGTTCAAATCTGGTCTCAGACACTTATCAGCTGTGTGACCCTGGGCAAGTCACTTAATCCTATTTGCCTCAGTTTCCTCATCTGGTAAAAATGAGCTGGAGAAGGAGATGGCAAACCACTCTAGTATCTTTTTCAAGAAAACCCCAAATGGGGTCATGAGGAGTTAGACACGACTGAAAAAGGACTCAAATAACAACTGATTCAGACTATCCAGGAACAGTTGCTTTTTGTTTTTTTTAACTTTAGTAATCCGTGATGGCTTCCCCTCTACTCATCCTGCATCCAAGATTTTTGCTCCTAAACACTATTATAAAGACTTTTAAAGTCAACTTTGTGATTTTGCAACTATATGAATAAGTGGGTTTTAATGGCAGGGTTGGGGGGGGGGGATTCGAGATAGATTTAATTTAGGGATACTTGACTTTGCCTGAAATGACATACTGAATGAATGCCCTTTTCCTCCTCAGGACCTGTTTCCTTATATAGAAAATAAGGGAGTTGGGCTAATGATCTCCACAATTCCTTCTAACTTTCCAATTTCATAATCTGTCTTACTAACCGCTCTCCCCACCCCCCAATCAGAGGTTCCCTACTCCTGCCCTAGAAAACCTTATCATTTTCACTTCTCAGTGCCAGTGCTATAGCAGGTACCAGTTCTACCTTTCAAAAGCAACATGTAAAGAGAATATGGGGTTCATTTCACTGACCCCTGAACACAAGAGTTGCCTCTTGTGCAACTGAGCAGTCATTGCAGAGTGGTGGCACCCTGAAAATTATGCAGAATTGTTGAGGATGCCAGATGCAAAAAATACTTTATGACATAAGAGAGGCACTGTGGCTCGATAAAAACACTAGCGCAGTTATCAGGAAACCTGGGGTTGAGTTCCAGCAGAAATAATAATAATAGTAATAACAACAGCGAGCATTCCTTTAGTGCTTTAGATAGCTTTCTGTATTGCAAAGTACAAGTATTATCTCATTTGGTCCTCACAATAACCTGGGAAGGTAGGTACTATTTTTATTCCCATTTTACAGATGAGGAAACTGATGCTGAGAAGTTGACTGGCTCAGGAACACACAAATAGTGAGTTTCTGAAGTAGGATTTGAACCCAGGTCCTCCTAACTGTAGGGCCAAAGCTCTGTCCACTGCACCACTTAGCTGCCACTATATGACCCTAGGCAAATCATTTGACCTTTTTGGCCTTAGTTTCCTTATCTGCAAAATGAGGGGTTTGGATTTCACAATCTCTAAGAATCTTTAAAGCTCTAATGGTCTATGAATACACAACATATATTCTGAACATAGGTGCTCATAAAACCTGTAGAATGGCCTGTATAATCAACATTGGTTTTCAGTTCATTATTTCAACAAATATTTTCTAAACTCTTACCATGAGTGACGCTCTGTGGGAAATCCAAAGTTCAGTTATGATATGGATTCATTTATATGTATTGTTTCAAAGCTATCTCGCTTTTAAGGATATGAAATATATTCAGGAATAGACTAAATCTCAAACAGTGTAACTGCTGTGTTAAACTATGAGCTCCCACGTCTTCTCAGACTGGGCATTTCCCAGGAGCAGGGACTGTCTCACTCACAGCAAAGACTGGGAGCCTCAAATCTCTTCTTTCATATTCTTTCTTAATGACCTCTATACAGCCTCATGGCAAGGTATTTAACTGACATTTTAAGAGGGTTCTGGAGACACAGGTTCTCGGACGCTGGGGTAACAGCTGTTATATAAAAATCCTAAGAAGAAAGGAAATGACAACATTTTAAAAAACTGATCCCTATTTTGAATGCTCAGAACCCTAATGAATCTCATAAAGCCAATTCCTTAATTGATCATTTGTCTAAATTTGAATTTCCATACATTGGGTTGATTTAAAGCAGATTCCTCCAGTAATAACTTTTGTCATAGCTATTATTATGTAACCTCAGTTTGGACTATCACCTAAAATTAGAAAAAATAATAAAATAATTCCCAAATGTAACATACTACTCATCTGAAAGACCCAGTTGAGTTTTAACTTCATATCCTGGATCACTAAATGATTAATTATATGATTAACTATATATTTATATTATTCATATAAATAAACAATTTCAAAGTTAGATTAGAAATTACCTAGCCCGTAACACCATCTGTCCTAAATTATTACACGGCTTTAGGTTTAACCCTTTACAGTATGCTTGCTCATACATACCTTGGGAGATTGCTGGAAGATTTCTTGTACATTTGCCTTCATGTCTATAGCCTGAAACTTTTTTCTAGGAAGGAGGGGAGTAAGGAGGTGTCTGAATTTATGACTTTATCACTAGGGAACTCGTAATATTGAAACTCTCTGAAACTCAAGTGTAACTTAAAATGACATGTCTGGGCCACTGACTGGTTAAATGATTTGCTCATTGTTATAGACTGAATATGTATCAGAGGCAAGATTTGAACTTAGGCCTGACTCCAAAGCTTCCCAGGGACTACCATGTCTCTCTGCCACTCACAGCTTAAAGTTTATATATAGTTACATAAAAATTGCCATTTTCCTGTCCATGTCTGCTGCACTTGCTCTTTACCTAGATACTGTACCCAGCCTTATAATGCTAACAAAATAACAATCTCAGTACTGGGACCTCAGATGTCATCCAAGTCACCCCTACCCGAAGCATGAATCCTCATACAATACAGTATTCCTAATAGGTGGCTATTCCACCTCTGCTTAAAGACTTCCAGTGAAATGGAAATTAACTTGTATAATATCCACTGCAACATAATAATGGTTGTAGTTTCTTCTACATGCTTATTCACTATAAAGTCTTCTTTTGGGGAGCTAAGGAGGTTCAAAGTATGTGGTACAATGCCTTGATTCATCTTCTGAGTGATTTTTTTGTGTGTGGTGAGAAGGACACGAAGATAAGAGGTAAACAGGACAAGGGAAAATGATTGAAATGTAGGTAAAATTAATGACAACCATGAAAGAGAATGCTTTATTAGAGAGTAAATCTCATCGTGGGAAATGACATTCCCCAAATATTTTTGCTACCAAACTAACTCAAAAAACTACTGACAATGCTAGATTATTGAACTAGACGAGCTCCTTAACAGCTAACTCCTAACTTTTCTTGAGTGTTAATACTACACCTGTTTCAGAGCAGACGACTTATGACATAGCAGTACTGCCAACTGAGAGCAGTGTGACTATATATTGGGTACCAGTTTCCAATTCTATTCAGTTAATAAGAAAAACAAAACAACGAGGCGAAGAACCATTTTACTTTTAGTCATATTGTATCACAAGTCTTCTCATGTTTTCACCTGTTAAAAATAGAACCTTATTGGCAGACCATACTGAAGCCCATGTTGATGTCACAACTACCGAAGGCTACTTGCTCTGCCTCTTTTGTGTTGGTTTTACCAAAAAGTGCAGCAACCAGATTCATAAGACCTCTTAGGCCCAGCACCAACAGGTCTGTAAAATTTGTAAGAAAATGATGGAAATCATGACCTGAGAGGTGCAGACAAATGACTTGAAAGAAGTTGTCAATAAACTAATTCCGAGACAGCATTGGCTTGCCAGTCCATTTACCCTCTCCATGATGTATTTGTCTGAAACGTCAAGATGCTCAAGAAGCCCAAATTTGAACTGGAAAAGCTAATGCAGCTGCATGGTGAAGGTGGTGGCTCTGGAAAACCTTCAGGAGATGAAACGGGCACAAAAGTAGAAAGGGCTAATTGCTATGAACCACCAGTTCAAGAATCTGTCTGAGGACTTTTAAAGGTTGAAAAATAAAAATTTATTATTGTGAAAAAAAAAAATAGAACCTGGAAAAGAACAAAAGTAATAAATCTTGAAATAGCAGACAAAAATCTTAAGACTGTTGGAGGGGGGCCTCAGAGGTCAACTAGTTAAAGCCCCTACCAAAGGCAACAATCCCCTCCATAATAA